GGACTTCAATTCCCAGAAGCTGGTTGGGGAATTCTGAGAGTTGTAGTCCATACATCATAAAGTTGCTGAGGTTGAGAAACACTGAGTTAGGTGAATTAAATTTACAGTATCTAATTTCAAATACACATCATTACACTACATGATAAATAATGGTTAACAAACCACAGCAGCCAAGCCAAAACCAAATCATATTACCATGCATATTTTCTTTGGGGTTCTCTGGGCTTAGGAAGATCTGCACCAAACTGTAGGTCATGAATGCTTCAGACATTCATTATCTACAGAGATCACATTGCTGTGTTCTTTAAATGATGGCATCATGTTAAGCTAAAATGTGGTTTGTTTGGGTGTAGCATTTGTAGTGTGATAGACTTCTCCAGAAGAGATTGTTACACAAAAATCAGATAATGTTCTTGGTTGTAACATTTAGGATTCAAAGTTCTCCTGGAAGGCAACCTAAATTCCATCATTGGGAGGGGGAATGGCTGATAACATGGTGACTGGGAACAAATTATTAACAACTCTGGCACAAACAGTGAATGGTCATCACAGAATCTGCATTTTTAAATGGGTAGTTATGTCTTGTAAAGCAAGAAGCATAGTTTTGAGTCATGTAAACTTAGTATGAAACCTATAAAAGTATAGGATATTGGGATTCATCCAAGGGCTCTGTAGTGGATGCACCAGGCCCAAGCAGTCCTGGTGCAAGTATTTGGTCTTCCCTTGAAGATCCAATGAGTAAGATATCATCAATAAAACCTACTTTGCTTATTTAAATGTGAGTGTTAATCTTGGAATTTCTTAAACTTGGTTGGAATTTTCTTGTGCAGAGCAAAGCATTTCAAACTGTTTTGCATACAGCACAGAACAAGAGAGCCATTTAGGTACATTCTATACAAATAACATTCACCCATTGAGTGCTACATCTATAGGGTTTCTATTACCTGGCATAATACAGCATCCTGTGGGAATGCTGCATTTATAGTTGATAATCATGATTTACAGTTTAACGTATTGTGCAAACACAGCCTGAAGAAAATGAGAGTTTAACCAGAGGGCTGATTAACTTTTTCCCAACCTCCACAATTTGAAATATGGTAATCCTACCCAAAACTGATCTTGAAGTGCATACCCAGAATTATTCATTCTGTAATAAGTATTTTAATAATTCTTGGCTTTGACTGACACATTTGCTCACCCTGGACTGGATAGGATGACAGAGACATCTGGTTCAAGCCAAGAAGATATGTGTTGTGATACCATTGCCCAAATCATGCAAATTCCATAATTTGCATGATGACATGACACATGTCAGTTGTCCCCAGTAGATACCCATATGCAATTAGATGGGCCAAAGTTTTGTTTCAGGTGACAACTGTTCCTCCTCCATTTTTAATCACCCATCACCACCTCTGCAGGGGGATCTGAGTGTGGAAAAATTTAAGCCATTGTTACTGAACATGCACATGTGTGCTTGACCTGGCTTTGCAAACCCATAACAACATATTTGAAGACTGAAGTACTCTAGTGTCCTTCTTGAGTAGACAAAATGAACTTCTTGTTGAGAAGGGAGATAAAACTTGTAAGCCAAAAATGGGATGAAACAAATGTTCCCTCTTACAGATGTTTCTCCAACAAGACTTAAAACCTTGTGATGGAATGCTAGGACATGTTTTTGATGCTCTCTAAACTCCATTTTTTCTGCTGGCCTTTCCAAGCCCTTAATGGGCACAGAAACCCCGTTGGTGTTCTTTCCTGTACTGTTGTAAGGTGCTTTGAGATTGCTATAAACTGAAAGCCACGTAGGAGCACTTGCCTTAAATTGCATCTTCTCTCAATCAGGTCATGATGGAACATGGCTCCCAATGTTTCTCTGCAGGCCTGCCCACCGGAGTGCATGGTTTAAGAGGTAGCCTGGAGCTCTATAATAGGAGGCAGGCATCACAGAGCCTATTTTGGGATGCAGTGGGTTAGAAATATTAGCTATTAATCACGTGGGTAGCCTGCACTGGTTCTTCATAGTTCTTCAGGCACTCTGTCTACCAAATCTAATTCCCTAAATCTATTCACAGTGAAGGTGATGAATAGATTTAGGGGATTAGATTTGGTAGACGGAGTGCCTGAACAACTATGGACAGAGGTCCGTAACATCGTACAGAAGGCAGCAACTAAAACCATCCCAAAGAAAAAGAAATGCAA